TGTCTTAAAAAAAAAAAAAAAAAAGAAAGAAAGAAAAGAAAAATCAGAGACTGCAATTTGTAAAGAAGAGAGGTTTAATTGGCTCATGGAAGGCAGGCTGTACAGGAAGCATGATGCTGGCATCTGCTTGGCTTCTGGGGAGGCCTCAGGAAACGTACGATCATGGCTGAAGACAAGCTGCATCACATGATTAGAGCAGGAGCCAGAGGGAGGAGGTGCCGCATGCTTTTAGATGACCAGATTGAGAAATCACTCGTTATCACGGGGACAATACCAAGTGGATGGTACTAAACCATTCATGAGAAATCCACCCCCATGATCCAGTCAGCACCCAGCAGGCCCCACCACCAACATTGGGGATTACAACTCAACATGAGATTTGGGTGGGGACACAGATCCAAATCATAATGATAACCAATCTCTCATTGTTGCTGCTGTCTCCTTCTCTGCTTGGCTGCCTTCTTCATACCCCGGCATGCCTACTCCATATTAACATCCCAAGGACTGGTGGCCCCAGAGGACACCCTATACCAGACTGATTTGGTACTCTTTAGCCAGATTTCAACAAGACAGCTTTGCTTGCCTTCTCTTCACTGCTGTATTGTCCCGACAACACACACCTTCTACAAAGCACATTTAAAAAATATATCGTCTTGGCTGGGCGTGGTGGCTCACGCCTGTAATTCCAGCACTTTGGGAGGCCGAGGTGGGTGGATCATGAGGTCAGGATGTCGAGACCATCCTGGCCATGAAACCTTGTCTCTACTAAAATACAAAAAATTAGCCGGGTGTGGTGGCATGTGCCTGTAGTCCAGGTACTCAGGAGGCTGAGGCAGGGGAATCGCTTGAATCTGGGAGACCGAAGTTGCAGTGAGTTGAGATCGTGCCACTGCACTCCAGCCTGGCTAGAGCAAGACTCCGTCTCAAAACAAAACAAAACAACAGCAGTGTCTTTTTGCTCCTTATAAAACCTCTGTGAGGTAATGAAGGTATTACTATCCATAATTTTTCTTTCAACAGATCATCAAGGATCTAGTTCAGGAGAAATAGAGTGACTGGCCTGAAGTCACACAGCTTATAGAAAGTAGGACCTGAGTGCATGCGTCTTTCCACTCCACCGATATGTGATGCCTATGCCAAAATTACAGTAACTTTCTTTTTTTCTCCAGTAGAAGTATGTTTCAAACTTATTCAGTGTGTGGTAGGCTATGATTTCCAGCCTTTCCTTTTCCTGCTATATATGGGCCAAACAGTGGTGTGGTAGAAAAACAAATGGTTCACAATTGAGAAACACCTCAGGTAGAGCTCTAATCTGTGAGACTTCAGGCAAGTTACTAGCTTCCCTCAACTATAAAAAAGGAGATTAGGCAGGACACAGTAGCTCACGCCTATAATCCCAACACTTTGTGAGGCGGGCAGATCACTTTAAGTCAGGAGTCTGAGACCAGCCTGACCAACATGGTGACACCCCGTCTCTACTGAAAATACAAAAATTAGCCGGGCGTGGTGGCACAGGCCTGTAATTCCAGCTACTTGAGAGGCTGAGGCAGGATGATCCTTTGAACCCGGGAGGCGGAGGCTGTAGTGAGCCAAGGTCGCGGCATTGCACTCCAGCCCAGGCAACAAGAGTGAAATCGCCAAAAAAAAAAAAAAAAAAAAAAAAAAAGATTAGAGTCAGCGACTCTGCCTGGGGGTGGGTGACAGGACACTTCTTCCTCCCTTAACAAAAGTTACCTAGGGAGCTGTAAGGCTTTCCCCATTGATAGAAACGCCAGCAAAAATTCAACTACATATACTCAATTCAATGAAAATCCTTAACATCCCTTCCAAGCCACAGTTATGATTCTAAAGCAATGTTTCCTATTCATTATTTGCCTGCTGTTTTTATCCTTCACTTTATCATCTTATATTTGGCTCTCAATTTCACTCATTCAAAAATTACTGATGGCCAATTATGTGCCAAGTACCCTGCACTCCACTTTTTGTGGTATCCCTCTTCCGAGGGAGAAGTCACTTAGAATTTTACCCCTGTCTTCCCAACTTGGGAATCGGAACGGTTTGGAGCTAGGTCTTGTTATTTCTAAGCATGCCGGCTCTTCTCCATCCCTCTCTCCACCAACCCCATTTCAAGGTTGGTTCCTCCCAGAGGACGACAGCGTTGCATTCCTCTCTGGGACAGCCCTCCCGCAACTAACAGTGGCTCCATCAACGCTCTGGTTTCCTCGCTGCTCAGTGGGAATTCGGGTGGGACGTTTTCCAAAGTTTAACTGGATTCCACGGCATGTTCCTCCCCTCGGAAAGACACAACCGGCTCGGTGTGTCAGCGTGGATGGATCCACGCCGGGTGCGGCGCCACAGCGCCGGTTCTCGCTGGGCGGCTGCGGAGGACTGGGAGATACTCCTAAGTAGGCGAGGCGACCCCGGCAGGAGGAAACTTCCCCGCTTGCCGTCCTCGGGACGGGGCGCCTAGTCTGCCCTGGTGCACTCCGCAGGAACTTCCTCGGCCTCGGCTCTCGCTCCGAAATAGCCGAGCCGGTTCCTTGCACGCTCCCGCCGTCCTCCTCCGGCTGCGGTCGCGCGCCCGCCACCGCCACCGCCACAGCAACCGCCGCGCGTGTCCTCACGGGGCCTCGGCTCCCTCCGCCTCCGCCGCCGTCCGCGTGCCCTACAACTGCTCCCTCCGCCCGGCCGCCGCGGCAGGGAGCGCGAAGCGCGCGCCAGCGCGAGAGACGTGCGCGAGACGCACGGCCCCGCGCCGAGCGCCGGAAGCAGCCGGGCCGGGGCCTCGCGCGTCGCGCGCGCCGCCTCCTCCCCCTCCGCCAGTCGCCGCGGCCTCGCGCGCGCGCACTGAGGCGCCGCCGCCGCAGCCGCCGCCGCCGCCGCGGCTGCTGCAGGAGGCGGCGCTGGCTGGCGGCTGCGCTCGCTCCAGTCGGCGAGCGGAGCTGCGAGCGAGCGTGTGTTTTTTAAAGATGGCGGGAGCGGCGGCGGCGGTGGCCGCCGGAGCAGCAGCTGGAGCCGCCGCGGCAGCCGTGTCGGTGGCGGCTCCGGGCCGGGCCTCGGCGCCCCCGCCGCCCCCGCCCGTATACTGTGTGTGCCGTCAGCCGTACGACGTGAACCGCTTCATGATCGAGTGCGATATCTGCAAGGACTGGTTCCACGGCAGGTAAATAAACCCCCTCCAGCCCAGCAGCCGCCGCCGCCGTCGGCCACCGACCAACCGCCGCCGCTGCCGCCGGCCGTCCGCGCCTCCCTCGGGCCGGGCCGCCACGCCGCGCCCAGGGTCCAGGGGGCCCCGGCACCAAGCCCCCGGGCCGGGCAGCGGTGCTCGCGGGGCCCCGGGCTCGCCGGGCGCCGAGCGGGCTCCAGAGGGGAGCCGGTGGGCTCGCCTGGCCCGGGCGAAGAGTCGCCACAACAAACAGGAACAAAGGGGGCCGGTGGAGAAGTTGGCAGGGGGAGCCCGGGGCGAGGGGACGCGGCCGGGCGGGCGCGGCGGGGGCAGCGGGCGGAGCGCCGGTCGGGCCCTCAGCCCCTCGCCCGCCGGAGCCGTCGCCGCCCCGCCCCGCCGCGCCCGGGGCTCCGGCCCCGAGTCGCCGGCCAGTCGGCCGGCCGCCGCGCCTGCCTTCCTTCCGGGCGGCGTTGGGCTCGCCCCGGCTCTGTGTCTCTTCCGCGCCGCTGGTCCCCGTCGCGCACCCTTCCCCGTCTTTATGAAACTTCCTGGGGCTGTGGGACGACGGCGGCTGCGGGCCCGGGAGGCGACCGCGCCAGTCAGGCTCGGCGGGTCTCCGCGGAGTAAACAGAGCAACAGATGAGGCACTCACTCTAGGGGACTTGAAAGGTGCTCGGGGACTTCGGGCTGGGCCCCCGGCGGGCAGCAGGTTGACCCGGGTCTCGGCCCCGGGCCCCCGCACTCCCCGCGGTCACTGGTGCTGGGGCATATGGAGTGGGCGGCGGGGCCCGAAGGGAACGCTTCTCCGGACCCCCTGGGTCGCCCTCGCGCCGCGGCTCAAACTTTACAAAGAGTGCAGTTGCTGTCGCCTGAGGACGGCGACACCGGGACCGCCCGCGGCTGTGCCCCGGGCGCGGGTACCGGCGAACTTGAGTCGGCTCGGCGGACGCTGCGGGGCCGGCAGGCTGGCTGCGGCGGCGGACGCTACCCTCTGATTCAGCCACGCCACGCTCAGGGTTTGACGTTTGAGAGCTCGGGCCGCCTCCGCAGCCAGGCCGCCGACTCGTGTGTTTTGTAATCAAAGTGTAAGGCTAATAAAGGGCGGCGCCACAGCCTCTTGACTCCGGCGTGGGAGGGATTCGCAGGCATTTAAACAAAGAAACTAGTTGGGGTTGGGCTCCCAAAGTCCTTATTTGGGTGTTGTGGCAAAGCCTGCGGTCACCTTTAGGTGAAGCCGGTTTCCCGGGCCTCGTTTGGTGTTATCTCTTGGCGAGAGCACGCTCACGAGTAATAGCAGATATGGTGACTGTGATTGTAGGAAGTGTCTTTTGATTGACAGCAGGACATTTAAATACAGCCTCCGCTCCCCCCTCCTCAATTTTTACAGAAACACTACACGACCAGGCCAGATGTCGTAGTCTCCCTCTACTGGTCCAGGGAGAGAAAACCATGTAAATCACAATGTTCTTTGCAGTGTTGAGTGCTAGGTATAGTTAAGTTTTACTTAATTTTCAAGTACAGTTTTACTTAATCAGTTTTCAAGCTAGCCGATTCTGACCACAGAAAACTAGACACAACAAATTATCACTTTAAAAGAAAGGCAGCGTCCTTGTTTCGTATAAAGGTAATCTTTAGCAGTCTTGTATATTCAATTCTATTTCCACATCCTCTGTTTCCATAACATATTGTACGTAACTAGAATAAAGATTATCTGAACATTTAGCTTCTATATAGAATAAAATCAGAATCCTTGGTGATTATGTAAATGCTTATTTTTTTCAAGAACTATTTTTTGAAATTTGAGGCGGTTAAGCTGCATAAGAAATTTGTCTCATGCAGTGAAGATTTGATAGGCTACTAAATTTTAGACTAGAATTGTATTTACCTTAATTTAGGTTACTTAACACTGTAACCATGAAAAGCCTCAAGTATTTGATGGAGAATTTTGTAATACATTTAAGTATACACTTGTAAATAGGAGAAATTAAAGAGGAAATACAGAGGGCTTATAGGAAGGAGGGAGAGCAAGGCCGAAACAAATATGCTCTCTCTGCTTTGACATATAAATATGTTAAAGTTTAATTTTTTAAAATTATTTTTTAATTTTTTAAGAGACGAGGTCTCGCTATGTTGCCCAGGCTGGAATGCAGTGGCTATTCACAGGTGCGATCCCACTACTGATCAGCACGGCAGTTTTGACCTGCTCTGTTTCCGACCTGGGCCGGTTCACCGCTTCTTAGGCAACCTGGTGGTCTCCCGCTCCCTGGAGGTCACCATATTGATGCCAAACTTAGTGCAAACACCCGGTTGGCATAGCGCACTACAGCCCAGAACTCCTGGGCTCAAGCAGTCCTCCCACCTCAGCCTCCCGAGTAGCTGGGACCACAGGCACGTGCCACTGTGCCAGGCAAAGCTTAAATTCTGAGGTACTGGTGATTTGGGGTCTGTATGTTTTTCTCATGATCAATATGTAAGTTTAATTCTTAAGTATTGGTAATTTGGGCTCTGTATGTTTTTCTCGTATTTACTCTGATGTTTACCATGAAATGAGTGTTTTTTTTTGGAACACAGCAAAATGTTACTTTGTATTATTAAATATCCTTTGCTTCCATCACAATTGACCCTTAAAGGGCTAAGGTGTGTCTTTACTATGCTCAGATTTAATTGGACCACAGGCAGTCCATCTGTAGAGGAGGGAGGAGGAAGTTGGATACAGAGAATTGCCATTGCCTGGATAATTTGTTAACTTTATTTCTTCAAGTAGAGGGACTTTTTAAAGTTGGGGAATCAGCAAATTTTGATATATATAAATTTTAGTTTACTGTGCCTGGCGCTTCTGACATAAGGAAATCTGAAAAGTTGTTGCCCTAATTTCTTGTGACAGAGAAGGAAGGCCTGTCCTTGATGCTTTTCTGTCAGGATGTAGGATGGTTGGAACCAGCTTCTTCCAGTCTGAGGCTGTCAGGCTTTAGCTGCATCCTGAGTATGCAGGAATTCCCATCCGTCCATCTGCCTAAGCCTTTTTGGAAGTGAGAAGTGAACACTTGCCAGGCAGAGTACTGTGTATAATTGAACTCTAGGGGCAGTGAACTGTGGAATTAACAGGATTTTGCTGGGAATGTTCTGTCTAACCTAGAGATGGAGTTCTTTCTCCCTGAGTTCTTGGTGGACACAGTGAACATGTTTCCTGATAAGGCTCATTCCCTTATCTCCAGGCTGGATGTCTTTCTGTAATACTTTAATATCATCCTATGCAAAACTGCCTCACTGCCCTAATTGAATTGTATTACAGTTTCTGTTTTCTTCCTGTTAAATGTAAACACCATTGTTTAGTAGCCTTCAATCACATTTTTTAGTTGATAAAAGCAATATATTATAGAAAAGTTGGAAAGTGCAGAAAAGTATAAAGGATATGGAAGTACTCATGTCTTCAGTGATTACCATTTTATTAATAACGTGGTCTGCATTTACATCCTTTTTTATTTTTTTATCAGAAAGCATTTACAGTATCATGACATTCATACTGATTTGCTTCATCACATGCATACATCCTTTTTAAAAGAACAAAACTGGAATTCTTTCTATGCATTCCACTGTTACCTTTTTTTTATTAATGTATACTGTTTCCTATATCTTTAATGTTCTTTGAAAACGTTTTAGTGGCTACATAGTGTTTAATTTCACAGAAGTACAATATATTTGAAAATAATTCCCCTGTTATTTAGCTTACTACGTTTTCTTATGTTTACTAATGATATGATTGACATCCTAAATAAATTATTGTGACCATTAAATTATTTCCTTAGAATAAATAAAATGAGTTAATACTTATAAAACACTCAGAAGAAGACCTGGCATGTGCGATTTCTTAAGAAATTTCCTTGAACTAGTATTATTGGTCAAAGAGTATAGATGTTTTTAGGCTGCTTGTACCTGTTGCCACACTGTCTACCAGGAAGGTTATGCCAATTTATATTCTTACCAGCGCTTTCTAGTTCCCTGCATCCTCCCAAGCTAAGGTATTATTAACCAGCCCCTGCCAAAACAAACAAGAACTGCTAATCTATAGATAAGTAAGTATTACCACCAAAAGACATACCCAGGCCTGTTCATGGCAGCATTATTCATGTTGTCCCTAAACTGTAACCTAAATGTCATCAACAGTAGATTGGATACATTGTAGTACAGTCATAAAATGGAATACCAAGCTGTAAAAAAGAATACACTATGGATGCACACAACATGAATGGATCTCACACATATAAAGTTGAACACAGAAGCCTGGTACAAAAGAGCATGGTGTTTGATTCTGTTTATGTGAAGTTCAAGTACAGGCATAATTGGGGTTAGGAGTCAGAATAGTGTTTACCTTTTTGGGGGGTATTGACTGACTTACTGAGGTGCAGAACATATTATTTTTTTGAGACAGAGCCTCGCTGTGTTGTGCACTCACTGCAACCTGCGTCTCTTGGATTCAAACGATTCTCCTGCCTCGCCCTCTGAGTAGCTAGGATTTCAGGCATGTGCTACCACACCTGGCTACTGTTTTATTATTTTTTTTATTTTTAGTAAAGACGGGGTTTCACCGTGTTCACCAGGATGGTCTCGATCTCCTGACTTTGTTATCCACACACCTCGGCCTCCCAAAGTTCTGGGATTACAGGGGTGAGCCACTGTACCCAGCCATATTCTTTTTTGGGTGGTGGTTATATGAATGTGTACAGATATAAAGATTTGTTGAGCTGCATGTGCACTGAAGTTTTTTGTTGTTGGGGGATGGAGGTCTCACTAGGTTGCCAACCCAGGCTGGTCTTGAACTCCTGGGCTCAAGCAGTGTTCCTGCCTCAGTCTCTCAAGTAGCTGGGATTACAGATGTGCCATGCACCTTAAAAATTTGCCAGTTTGTTAACTGACACAGTATTTTAAAAGTTGTTTCTTGATTCTGTCTTGAATGAGATTCTTCTTATGTTTTGTCATTGAGTATGATGTTGACTTTT